AAGCTTGGTCTACAATGTCTTTAATTGCCTTTTCTTTCACACCTGTTGCTCATGCCTCCCTGTTCTTTATCCTTCAATCCTCTGGTACTGGTTAGCCATACATGAGCCACCTCCAAACTCACTACTTTCCTCATTTTACTTTAAATTCATTTCCTTAAGCTAAAAGACATTGTCAAGATTAATAAATCTAGTTGACAGATTTCTGCAGCGCGTCAAAACTGATAAGGAAAACAGAGAAGGAAAGATCAACTTAAATCTCTTGTAACCACCTCCTAACCTGTCTCAAGCAAAACACTGAAAGAGACCAAGGTTCTCTACCCAAATACCAAATACAAGGTCTAGCTTCCAGTTCTTAATATTTCTCATCACCAAGGGTTGAAGTTGTCGAGTTTTTCCAGTAAAAAATAACCAGTATCTCAACTCTCTCCTTGTGCAAGAGGCAGTTGCAAATCTCTCCTCAAATCCCCACTTAAAACACCAATGGGAGCCATGTGCAGTTTACCTAAGTCTTCAGCCTTCCTAGCTTTTGTTAGTCTTATCATCTGTGGGACTTACTGTGCCTCCCACAAAAATAAACAGGCAGCAGGCATGAACTATCTAACAGCAGAATGATAGAAAATAGAATTAAAGAACATGTAAATTTTAAGGGAATGCAAAAATCCTCTTAACTGGAAGAGATCCCGCTTGATCCCAAAGGTGCTTCAGAGCCTCCACAAGCCCTTAATTTGACTTTTTTTCATAGATACAACCAACTCTTAATTATAAGGGATGCTTGGGGAATGCAATGGAGGGCAGTGTCTCACTCAGGCAATGCCAGGCATTATCTCCAATAAAGGGCTGGCGATCTGCATCATACATGGAAACATAAAATTTTATTTGCAAAAGGAGTTCTGCATGAATGGATAAACAAAGTGCGTTATAGCCATGACATAGTATTACTGGGCCATAAAAAGGCATGAAGTGTTGATATATGCTACAACATGAACCTTGAAAACATTATACTAAAGAAGACACACAAAAGGCCACATATGGTTACATCTGAATATGTTAAATATTTGGAAGACAGATCTAGGGAGACAGAAAGTAGATTAGTGGTGGCCTCCAACTGGGGTTAGAAATGGGAAGTGACTACAAAGGGGCACCAGGAATCTTTTGGGTGGGGGAGTGACAAATGTTCTAAAAGTGGGTTGTGGTGATGACAGCACAACTCTGTAAATTTGCTGAAAAAAAAAAATCAGACTCTAATCACTATGTTGTACACTTGAAACTAATATTTTATGACAACTGTAATTGGAAAATTTTAAAAATTTATCACTGAATAGGAACCTTAGCATAAGTGATTTTTATGGTAAATTTTACCTTAAAGCTCTTGAACTAAAATATATATATACATATATAAAATGGGTGCTTCAGATAAAAAAAAAGTTAGGAAGAATCGCTGTTCTCCAAGCCCCTCGATTTTATACATGTGCAAACCGAGACTCTGAAGTTAGAGAGGCACTTACTATCATAACTAAGACTAAAAGGCCAGAGGAAACTAAATTCTCCTGAGTTCAACTCAGATTTTATGCCATTCTATCTCACTTGGAAGCACGTTAAAGTAAATGTAAATACTTAACTTAATTTGCACAAATAGGCCAAGATTCTTAGAGGCTCTAACCAAAACAAGGGGCAAAACATCTTAATGAAAATTTCGTTGATGATCTTTAAGTCTTAGGAAGCACATCATGACAGGGCAAGGCAAAATGTTAAGATCCTACAGGTCTGAAAGTTATTCTGGTTCTGAGACTGAACCAGTCTTAGAGGCCAAACTTGCCGATGAGCTTCTTACACTGGATTCTGGAAAATCAGTGAAGCAGGGTGTACAGACTGGGATGAAGCAAAGAACTGAGGTCATT